AAGGTGGGGAGGGGATAATTGGGCCTCCGGTAACCTCACTCACGATACGAAACACAACGCAACGCGTTGTTTCACGTCAGTCTTTTTTAAAGGTATCACTCCGGTCGTGCCGGCCTTGACTTTAACATTTGTACAATATATATATGTGTATAATTTACGCGTTTATTTCAGTAAATATACAAATTCGTATATTGTCTCAGATTTTCTTTCGGCGTGGTAACCTAACTTGCAAATCTTCGTTCAGCAGCTGATGTTCTTTCAGCTGACGACGACGATGATGATTTTTCTAGTGGTTATTTGCGTTATTATGAGTTGTTTGTTATAAGATTGAAGTATCAAATATTTAATTTCTTACTTCACCGTCGATATCAAATTTTAGTCGTCAGACTTCAATACCGTTTCGAAAATCCTGTATCAATAAAGCCGTTTACTCAAAATTCACAGGACTGCAAAGCTTTGCGTCGGCACAAAGTGATGGGATATCAAGAATACCAGTCGGTATTTTGGCAAACGAATATCTTAGGGTAGAAGCGTGTGGATTATTTTACACACGCTGTACACAATTCGAAATGCATTGTCTGAAATAGACAGGTAAGCAACTTTATCTATGTGGAAATCCGATATCAACGTTGAACATGTTGAGTGGCTTCGGTAAACAATAGGACTTCAGTGTAGGTGACAATATTACTGTTTGTTTTTTTACTTTTAGGAATCTTCTAATAGTCTTCTTGTAGCTGTAGCATTTTAATTTTCCGATTAAGAAGTATTTGTTAATTCAAAAAGGAATACTTTATAACGTGGAGAGAAAATCTAAACTGTGTACTACAACCTCTTTTCACCACTTTTGTCAAACACTTATCAAAACTCAACTGAAAGTTTTATTTCTGCTGATCCATGAAACAAATTTTATTTCTGGAGATTTACGGTCGAAACTATTTCGTCCGATTGTGATGGAAGTTGTAACTGCAAATGCATGTTTTTAAAATGAAGTATTCAGCACAGAAACACAATATTCGCTCAATATCGAATATAACGAGAAAACAAAATTTTAAAGCCAAAATCCGAACAATAACATCACCACTCAACAAATATCAGATTGTAGAATTACGATCAGTTAAAACTGAATCATTATTGCATTCTGATACCGCAACGTGATTGAGAGAATGAATCCATGTTGATGATATTTACTGTGTCGTGGTGGCCCGGAGGTTTAAGACGCCCACTTCTCATGCATGAGGGTGCGGGTTCGAAACCTACCAACGGCAAGTACCAATGTGACTTTTTCCGAGTTATATGTACTTTCTAAGATTATTTAGACACCACTGACAAACGGTGAAGGAAAAACATCGTGAGGAAACCTGAACTTATAATTTCTAATTATAAGTTTGAAATCGCCAACCCGCATTGAGCAAGCGTGGTGATTAATGCTCTAACCTTCTCCGTGTGAGAAGAGGCTTTGCTCAGCAGTGGGCATTTATAGGCTGTTGATGATGATGATGATGATATTTACTGATATTTGCTTACGTCGGGATCATTTTGTATTTCTGTATGACCACACAATTTACGAGTTACAGAGTCAGAGAATATTTTGGTACTGATTTTAATTCTCTGCCTCGCTGGCCGAGTGCGACGGGCAAGGGGTCACGGGGTAATACTTTGCCGACTCGAGAATGGATTCTTGGGTCGGCAAAGGATTTTTGGGATTTAAAAAAAAAATCAATAGTACCACGGAGTCTGGAAATGTGGCCGGTATATGGCAATAGGCTCACACCTATAACATGAGACTTGATATATTAAAATAAAATAAAATAAACATTGATACTGAAATTGGTTGTTACATTATACAGTGGCATTAAGTGACGTAGTGTGCACCTCTACCTTCTTACCCCTTTCGGGTATAAACGGCGTGTTGTTATGGTATGTGATTTTAATATAAGTAGTAATAAGATAATTGTGTTTTCTTAGATCTCATTGTAATAATATGTACCTATTCATATACCTACAGAAATGGATATCTAGAAATTGGTTTATAAACATAAGTTTTTTTTTCACTTATTATGTTTTCGGCTTACTCACGAAATAATTTGACGAGGAACTCGACTAGTTTCAAACCATGCTAGAGGCTCATATTCATGAGCAGCATTTCGCGACCCGCGACGCGGCGACTGTCGCGTGAATTATTACTTGAGTAAGCCGAAAACATAATAATTTATTTAGTATGTCTCACGAAAGTACAAGTTTTTTTTTGATGACGACAGAAAGGATTTTTTCTCATTAAAGTACCTGACTAACTCCTCTTTGATGATCTTGAATGTGACAGTGGTATAATTTTAGTTTTTTTTTTTTCGTAAATCGTGGGGAAGTTAGGTCAACCCCTACCACTTATGACTGAAAATATAACTTTTTTTATGGCATAAGCCGGTAAACGAGCAGATGGTTCACCTGATGGTAAGCAATCGGCGTTGCCCATGGACACCTGGTACACCAGAGGCGTTACAAGTGCGTTGCCGGTCTTTTGGGGATTACGAGTTTGAGGATCGTTCCCAATCCTGAATCTCCAGGGATTGGGGAGATTGGGGAAGGGGAGGGTAATTGGGCCTCCGGTCACCTGACTCACACGATGAAACACCACGCAAGCGTTGCTTCGCGCCGGTTTCTGTGAGGCCGTGGGATCACTTCGGTCGAGCCGGCCCATTCGTGCCGAAGCATGGCTCTTCCACACTTTAACTGGCTAAAAGTTTGTGTGTAAAACCTACCAGTTTCGGGAATTAACAGACATGACGTATTGTAACTTATATAATTGTTAGTATTAATATTGTCTTTTTTCTAAATAGTACCATATTTTCTTCAATGTAAGTTTTCTTTTCACTGTAGGTAATAATTTCTAAGAAACCTCAATTTATCGAATTGTAGATTGTAATCTTGAGCCTAATTTGTTTTAGCTTTATGTGGTTTTAATGGCTGGCTGGAATGTAGTTAGTCGTGAGTTCGCATTACAAGTAATTTGTTTTTAAACTTACTTGTATTTAGATACATAACAAAAAATAATATACCTAGTTTGTGAACAAGTTCTGCAATCTTTGACAAGCTGTGTTATCTCCTAGTTATTTGAGTTTATATTGACACTTGGTAGCAACTTCAGTATTGTTCTTCTAAAGCTTCATATTTCCGTATTTTTATGACACAATCTACAACTTTTGACGCCTATATGATTTTATTATGTACATATTTTACGTAAAAGCATTAAATCCGTTCTATAAATAAACAGAACATGCTTATTTATTCACGACCATTACTAACACGTTGTACATACATAGGTTTCCATAACTGGCAATTTATTGCTGATATAAAAATGGTGCTATATTTCCATCGGTGGTCGGATTACATCGGGAGTCATCGGCTTCTCTCGGCAGTCGTCGGGTATCATCGGGTACACTCGGCGCCCTGCACGTCGTCATGGCTCTGGTTGAACACTGACGGAGGTTCTCGACCAACTGTCACTCGCGATTTATTCCCATGCGATATTGATTCTGGTTTTATATTGCTTATTGACTTTTTGCTATAGGTATTAAAATCCCCTGAGGTTTTATTGTGTTCGAATACACAATGTATCTTTTTTATGTAGCTACGTTAACGGTTAATATTTTAAGGTCGATATTTTAAATCACTTCGACCTTATGAAAGATCATTAAGGTAATTATCATTTCAATGTATGGCACTCATAACATAACTGGTAAAGAACGGTTTTATAACTGCCTATTCCTTGAAACGTGTGTTATCTTAGATTACCATTAGATTGATCTACATACATACGATATTAATACCAGCCATTAAAACAATTTTTCATCAACAAAATGATATTCGTTCACTTGTATCACAATCAAAAACACATTAATTTAGTGATGTACTCGTGATGACAGCCTTTCAATGACATGTCAACAGTGAATATTAAAAAAATCAATATGTACAACTTTCATTACAGTGAAGATACGATCAGTATGGGATTTAATGGGACGAAATATCCACGCACAGGTTAGAGGTTAGAGTATTCACTAATCAATGTAGGTTATCTACACATTCAATTACCCTCATAACATACGTTCTAACGACTTCACCTTCAATTGAAAAGAATTTAGGTTTACTTGTGTAGGTCCCGATGTCATGTAGCTCGCTCGACACACGATTACAACCAGACCCGTGTCTACGGCGCGTTACGTTCCGTGCGCGCCTTAAAGAATCATCAGACCACCACAGAGGGGCCCAAGTAGAGCTGATGCCCGAAGTAGAGCTCGGCGGCTCTACCGCCGAAGACTTAACGGGTTACCGCTGCTCCGGCTCGAAGATCAGAAGTAGAAACGGGGTTGTTTTTAGTCAGTATGAGACTGAAACGTCCTCTCGCCTCAACCGGGCGGGAGAAGTCATTGTATGACTTTCCCCCTTTAAAAATAAAAATCTCATTCCCTTGAGTAACTCAGTGATAAAGTATGTTTCAGTAAGAGAAATATTTTTTAAAATCATTTTTCAATTCATTAATTGCAAACTAACAAAAGTTTTCTCCATACATATTTGTATAAACAAATAATAGTTTCCAAAATTGTAACAACGAATAATGCTATTATGTAGGTAACTGTATTCCAGGCTGCGGTTTCGTAAGTCTCATTTGTCATGATTTGAGAGCAAGAGAGATTGCCAGCGTAGACCCAATTTCTCTAACATTTTGTACTCGAAAATGTTGATGAATCTTTATTAATGTTTGCGTTGTTAAAAGGGAAGAAACTATAGTCACCTATATTAATTTTAATAGGCAATTTTCAAAAACCTTTTATTATTTCTCGAGATTGTTTAAGGATAGTTTGAATTTTTAAATAATATAAATTTATGAATAAAACATAAATATTAACAAAATTGAAATAGAAAACTCTATTAGGTTATTAATATTTCATTTCTTTATTAAAATGTTTATTATAATCTAAAAGGTTATAAATAATTCAATAATGTACTTGTTGTTAAAGTATAGGTTTTATTATAAGCTGCGTTTACAACTCTTAACAACATGGAGTTTCCATGAAACTGTAATGTTTTTCGTTTATAATAATGTTTCATTAAATTTATGTACACATACTTTAAATAAACGCTTACATATTGGTTACATTTTTGCCTCTGTCCTCGGTGATACACACTTCTTTGAAGTAGGCATCTCATGGTTAAACCGAACAAGTGGGTTCGCTTACTATTCACAGTTACTGTTACAAACAATAAGTCATTACCCTAATTTTTACATGATAAAATAGTTTTATAAAAATTTTATACAAGCAGTATTCGTATTTAGTATCAACTACTTTTAAATTAATGTTATAAAAGAAATGAAGATTCGAAAACTATCATTGAGTTCCGATGTCATCGTAGCGGAGAAGTCAGTCTTTACCTCGCTAAATTAAGTATAGGGAGTGTAACTAAACTTGACTGTGTGTCAGTGTGTTGAAATCGTACATGTTGGGCCAGTCAGGCGTGTTCGTCAGCGATATCTTTGATGGCTCCAGCGAGTCTCCGGGAACGATGAGTGTATCCTCCACCTTTTTCAATTCATCAGATGATACGAAGCTTTTAAGTAGAGCGTATAATTTCGGCCAGAAATTTTCCTCATTCCATTTTAGAGTCGTTCGTAGATCTCGTTGTTCCTCTAGAAAGTCGTATATCGAGTTATCCGGACCGATATCAGCGAAAATGTAAATGGTTTTTTCCGCTTTCAACATCTCGCTGTGGATTTTCTTGATGTCGATGTGCCCATAAGTTTCCGTTAGGTAGTTGGAGGAGAACACGACGACTCGAGCACGCGTTTTCACATCCTTTACGTAGCGTTTGAAGTTCTTCGACATTCTAAATTCGCTGTTTCTATAATCTGTGATCACTTTCGTCAGAATTTGCAGAGATTCGTTGGTTGTCATAATTGATAGCATTTCTCTGTTAACAAATTCTTCATCTTGATGACAGAAATCCATTAAAATTCTGTACGATTTTTCTTTTCTTTGAGCATTTGCACGATGAAACGTACTGAGTCTTTTCTTAACAATAGAATTAATTTGTTTCCTATAGATGATGAACACTACTAATATAATTGTATAAATTGATATCACGACTGTCATTAGCGTTATGAGGATTGTGAATCTCATGTAACAGGCCTCCTTAGCCCAAAGAGGGCACCGCACATGTTGCAAGTCAACAATCTGCAACAATTATGTAGGTTAACTTCTCTGAATTACTGTGTAGAAATGTATTTCCTAACGTGATGCCATCTTGTAAAAACTTACCTTAGTTCTGGTCGAGTAGAGTAGAAAATCCATAAACAAATAGTTCTCACATCCACAGTTGATTGGATTTTTCGATATCCATACACTTTTCATTCCTTTCTTCATTACGTTACGATAATCCTTCAATGCTTTTTCATCAGTCTGTAATAAACATATCGAATTATATTCTAAAGATCATGACAAGCAAAAAGTTGTCGACAAAGTTAATAAAATACTCACCCAAAGGTTTTGTATATTATTGTGACTAATATCTAAATTCTCATGGCCATTCACCCACCAGTCCTCAAAAGCCACTTTGAATTCATTGTGACTTAGATTCAATAGCTTTAAATTATAAGTGTGGGCAAAAGACGAAGCCCTTTTCACCAGCCAAGAATTGTTTGTCAACTCTTTGTCCTCGAAGTCAAGTTGATTGTAAGCCAGAGATATTGACATTCGCTGTTTATTGTTACTGAACAAATACGGTGAAATCGTTTTCAAATTATTGTGCTCCATTTCCAAGTATATTAAACTAAGTAGCGACGAAAAGGTTTGGCTGTAATAAAAAGTAAATTACGTCACATAACCTAATCGGATGAAAGGAAATTGATCAAACACGAATAAAATTTTACTTACCCAGATATTTCTACCAAAGAGTTATGGCATAATTTAAGCCTTTCCAATCTCACTAGAGATGAAAACAATTTAGGCTTTAGCTCGCTCAACTGGTTGTAACTCAGGTCCAACTCGAGGAGATTTATTTGATCATTAAATATGGCTTCCGGCAGGGTTGTAATGTCATTGTATGCTAATGATATGTTCGTAATTACTGGCGAATTGGCAAAAACGTCATACGGTAAATTCTCCAGGCCACTCCTCTGAATATATATTTGCTTCAAATTTGGCAAATCTCCAAAAAGGTATTTCGGTAGCTCCTTCAGTTTGACGTCATTGTTTAGTATCACCACAGTTTCAAGCTCCGCATTATTTCTGAATAAATTCTGTGGCAACGAAAAAAATTTGTTCGAGAATAACGTCAATTTCTTTAATTTCTTTAGGGGCTTAAATATTGAAGCAGGAAGTTCGTTAAGACCATTAGAACTGAGATCTAATTCTTCGAGGACATCGACGCCTGTGAAAAGATCTTTAGAAAACCAGGTGACGTTACTTTGCCACAAGGAAAGTTTTCTCAAGAAAGATAAATGAGAAAATAAATTCGAAGATATATTGGTCATGTGATTGTGACTAATTTCTAATGTTTCCAGTTTCTCCAGTGGCTTGAACAACTCTTCGGAAAGATTTATTGTGTTTGATCTTATGTTTAGCCACGTGAGCTTGTTGATGTCCATAAACAAGTTGTCTGGAAGATGAGTGATGCCATTTATAGACAAAAGTAATTTTGTCAAGTCTTGTAACCCTGCAAAATGTTTCCTGTCGAAATACCCAGACAGGTTCTTTGCATTTTGGAATATCAGTGCCATAGTCTTCGATACTCCCATATTAGATAGAACATCTTTGAACGAAGATGCTGGTAGTGGACAGTCCTTAAAACTGACAGATTTAAACGAACTCATGTTATTGGCACATTTTGGTAACTTGCTGTAGTCGAGACTCGATGCGTTCTCACATTTTATATTAATGTAGATATTTGGCAGTAAATTTATTTTTACTGTCCGACCTGAAAAGTTTATTTTAAGTTAGTAAGAATATTCTTGGAAAATATACGACACTTAAAACGCGACTTTAAAACCGAACATGACGTAATCCGCTTACAGTGACGTAAACGAAGGCGAGGAAAGAAAGTTTATTCGAAGAAAAATTGAAATCACGCTGTGAAACTTGGGGCTCGGCTTTAAAAGGCATTCGTGAGCGTGAACATATAAGTGCACTCACCATCGATGTTGCAATTGAGTTCAACGGCGAGCGTGCCACCGCAAACGCAGTTAGGGTCACTCGGACACATCAGCCGCGCAGCACCAATTATTTGTAGTGTCAGCGCGGCCACCGCCGCATATATTACTTTACGATACATGGCTAAAACCACGCTGTCACTAACAACATTTACTCCATCCGCTGTTTCACTATGTACTCCAGTTTTAGTATTTTGTATTCGAACGCTGACCCCATGTTTTCCTTTTCATTGAATCTGTGAACAATTAGAAACACAACATGATTGCTGTTTCGTATAAATTGAAGTACAATTGTACATGCATTGGTTTTCATTTGGTTTCGAGTGTCGGATCTGGAATTGATTCCGCTATTCATAGTTTACAAGCATCGCTAACAAAAAGCGCTGGGAAATAAATTGCCGAGCGGGAAATATAATGGAACTGTCTGTACGATAGCCAGTTATCTCGGTACGTTGCACACAGATATTTTTGATTATTAATAAAACCCTTTAGAAGATAATTAAAATATAATATTTTTTTACAACTCCATGTAAAATTTGAAACACACTAAAAAAAGATCATATTCTTAGAAATGCATAACATAACATCCCGCCTTTTAACCCCGAAGGGGTAGGCAGAGGTGCACATTACACCACTGTACAATGTAACACCCACTTTTCACTATTTATGTTATGAGTCCCATGGAATAGGGGGTGAGCCTATTGCCACATACCGGACACAATTCCAGAGTCCATGCTACTAATTAGATTTTTTTAAAAATCCAGTAATACTTTGCCCGACCCGGAAATCGAACCCGAGACCTCTTGCCCGGCAGTCGCACTTGCGACCACTCGGCCAACGAGGCAGTCTTAGAAATGCCATGAGTTAAATATGAAAGAAAACTGAAGATTGACCAAAGATTCAATAGAACGGAATCTAGAATTTTCCACAAACATTGACACAAAAAAAAAACATAGGCAATCGGGGTTGAGAAAGTCAAGTAAAACAACTTGAATGAGAGCACAGCAACCGCATTGCCGGTCACCGCGACACCCACCGACTTCGGCCGACTTCACCCGACTTAACCCGATTTTAACCGACATCGTCCGACACGCTACCACAGCGTTATCACAATTTCCGTAACAGGATAAGGTTTGTTTTAATGAACCGTTTTTGGTTAAACGTGTTCGTTTAATGGGTTAAACATTGCTTTTTTTATTTATACATAAGCGAGTTTGATTTTTACTAGAAAAATGATGAAATATACACCATCCATGATGATTACAAGATAATAACACAACAATTATTATAATTTTTCATCCAAATAGAAATAAATCCACCTAGCCTTTTATGTGTTTAGTCTCATCATAATAGACAGCTAATGACTACATGAATTCTAAGAAGCCCAAGAAAAACTCCAGGTTAAGAAAAGGTACATACGACTATAAAAGTAGATCATTTTTATAAGTAACTAAATACAATGAAGTACAGTCTAACAAAGTCTACATTTCAAGATACCACTAAAGCAGTAAAACTGTTAAATTGTCTATGTCGTGCAATAATTTCAAGTTGTAACTATCAGATAATCCGAGTAGACAGACGACAGTCCAGTTGCTGCACTACAACTTGAATTTATCGAGTAGGGAAATATCTTACGTTCCAAACCTTCCCGAAGACAATCGAAATTGGATTCAAGATATATCGTACCTTATGTCACAGCTCCACGATCTAGATAACTTCGATATCGGTATCAATATTAGAAGCTGTTATTTTATTTGCGAGAAGAAATATGGTGGTGTTTTCTTTATATGTTTGATGTACGATGTGATCTATGTTATTATGTGGCTTATCGATATTACGTGGCTGCCTAAAATTACCGTTTTCAAGATGGATGCCTTTATTTGTCCCTAAGGTCTTTCAATAATACATTTTTGTTATCTTAGAAATGGGGCTAAAATTGAAGATACGATGTAATAAAACTATAAACAGAAAAGGAAAAAGTAGTATTCACTTTTATTATGACTGAACGTCACTTAAAGGAGCAAAAGATGTTTGAGTCAAAGATATTAATTACTCACTGATTGATTTGTCAAAATTATTCTCAGTCATTATCACGCGTGAAGTCATTATTTTAATCTAGTCATAATTCAAGTTCTACCATTACAAAAATTAAGTTTACTTCTTTAAAATATCAAAATTCATATCTTCACTGAGAATTCGAAATCAGAAGTTTTGAAATTTAAATATTGTGCTCGGTCTTCAATCAAAACCAAACCTCGCATTTGAACTTGCAATAGCAACCACTCGCACGTACGATCATGAAGTAGTGAAATATAATTTCTGTCTCCGCCCATGACACCGCACTAAAATATTTCCCAAGCAACATTGTAACATACACCTCTGAATCCCAACACATACAAATTACGTTTCCTCAGTAACATCATTCAGGATTGAAATATTAGGTACTTCATAAATTAATTTAGGGCCGTTAACCCAGCAACGGGTACCCAAGTAAGCCGCTTTCCTCAAGTTACAACTAAAGTAGAATTATGGAGGGCTTAATATTATACCTCTTTATGTAAAAAGAAGGATAAAGTAACTTTGTAAATAAAAGAAGGAACAAACAAGATAGAAAATATGAAATTATTTTGGGTCTTTGAAGAAAGCAATTTAGAATTGGCCCGAACTTGTTTATCGAGGTAAGCAATTGATAGGAAAAGGTAAATCAAATCTGCCGAAGCGACGTTTAATATCTATGTACCTTTAGATAGTTTCTCCCGGGAATACAAACATGGAGAGGTGGAAATTTAGTTTGCATAAACAAGATACTCTTGTTGAATGTTGATCACTTGTTTTGCATGCTTTTGAACTACAGAGTATTGCCAATAAGGTAAACCAAAATTAACTTACAAATATTCTGTGAAATTGGTAACAGATTGATAAATAACTAATTTATTATTAGTTAGTTTGTTCCTAAATAATTTACACTTTCAAGAACTATACTCGAACTATAGTTATGTTAATAAAGCATTGACTAGATTGTTTATTTGGGTCTTCCGTTTTTGTTCTGGATTTGATGGTCTTTAATGTTTAATATATTTTTCTAAGTTAAAATGTTATAAGTCCCATATAATAGGTGAGCTTATTGCCATATACCGGGCACAATTCCAGACTCCGTGCTACTACTGAGATTTTAGAGAGATGGGACTCATAACATAAGTAGTGATAGACTCTATCTACTCCTTCAGGGATAAAAGGCGTGATGTTACGTTTATGTTAGTTCAAAGAGTTCTTTAACCCATCACTGATCATTTAAATGATTTAAAAAATGTTCCAAATACGCTATACTTTTTCTGTTTAGACACCGTGTATTCAACACTTCACAACATACACTGCGGCTGGGAAGCAATTCGACCAAAAGCAGTATATATTTAGTATAATGCCATGTAATCTAATTTTAACCATGTTGACAGTCCCTTGCAATATATGTAGTTGGTACATTAAGGATGGGACGGATCAGGGTGAAGCGAAGCGACAGTTTCGGTAATATCACTCCACGTAATCCCAGATAAGGGGAAAGTTACAGACATGATACTTTCGGTGATATTGGTGCGGCAGCTGCATACAACAATAATGTGGTTACGCCAATGTGTAGATTATTTTGCGAGAGTAAAATATATTATTGTAGAAAAAAGAAATATAATTGAAATAATCCAATTGTCCTAACAAGACAATTGTACTTTAATAAATGGTTCTTTGTTGATAAATAATTCTAATTTCAGTTTCCTAGTCTAACGCTAAGTTTATATACGCCATACACATCCTAATAGACTTTATTTCTTATTTTACAACACACCAACCCATATTTCTATTAAGTACTTGTAAATAAAACAAACACTGTGAAACCTCACAAATCACAAAACAACATTAGCATCAAAATCACATTTTATAATGCTGCGGCTATTTACTGGCCAAAACAAAAGCTTGCGAATTCACCAAAATAAAACGGCCCAATAGGTACAGTGAGCCAAAGTATAAAGCCGATTATCATAACGGCACGCGACAGATATGGAACAAATACAATGTACGATGGTACAGCATATGCGGCTGGCATTCGAGATAAATGACCACTGCATTACAGAACTTTTTCATGAAAAACTAACTTTGTAAGTGACTTAGTAGCGTAACAGCAGTTTTTGTTTGGCCCTCTAGGTAATATATTTTATATCCCTTATGCTAAGTTTTTTATTTTTTTCCGCACTCAACGCCTTTTTATGTATATCGCAGGGGTAGGCTTAGGTGCTAACATTATAGTCCAGTAGTGTGTTATTTTATCCACCACGGAAATTAAAGGTCATGTTCTCACTGGCCATTTTACGACAACTAGGCATGAGGCTGTAAAATGACATAAAGGTAAAATTGTTGAGTTATTAAATATGATTTTATTAAAGAATGACCTCTATAACGGGGAATGGGAACATCCAGTTGGATTGTTACTAATAAATCTGATACAAAACTGATTGACGTTTAATAAAAAATAAATATTGTTGCACAGAATATAAATATAGTAAGCAAAATGCATTCAAACCCAACAAAGAACATAAATTCAACTTTATATTATAAGTAGGAACCAAGTAGTGCTTAAAACAAGCTACCGTGGTTCAAGTTTATAAGTAAGCTTCCCGCTTGGGAACAGTCAGGCCCTTAATCAAACTGTTAAGCAAGAGCTCAAGAAGTTAGTTGGAAGTCTTTGCGACTAAACCTAACAAAACATAATTGTTACCACTATCTACACGCTACTTCGTTAAAGTGGTGCTAGTATCGTCTTCGGTGTTGTATAGCTTCTGACGTTGCTCTAGGACTTACGCTTACTGATCGGGAGTTACTGTACCAAGTATGTTTTGACGAAGTTGGGAGTTATGACGTTGCCTGCATTGAAAACTATTGTCTTCAATGCATGCAGCGTTCTCAACGGCTCCATATTGAGGTCAAGCTATAGGTAGTCACAAATATTGATACTGAGCATGATATTATACTTTGTATCTGAGTGTCTTGTAAACTGTTATTACTACTACTTAACTTATAAGTTACTAGCGACCCGCCCCGGCTTCGATCGGGTGCAATATGGATGTATTATACATATTATTATTATTATAAACCTTCCTTAAGAATCATTATGTCTATAAAAAAGACCGCATCAAAATCCGTTGCGTAGTTTTAAAGATCTGAGCATACATAGGGACAGACAGACGGCGGA